CGATGCTATATACGCCATGATGGAGAGCGAGGACGCAGACCTCAGTAAGCAGCTAGCCAACAAGGAGAGGGCAGCCGGGGCAGGTCTCGCTGAAGAAGAGAGAAAGAGTCGCTTTCCTGCTGTGGACAATGATAGCCGCAAGCCCAGGAGCGACGACGAGATGCAGAAAGAGGCCGAATGGCTGGCAGAGGAGATGACCCGCGACGAACAAACCGCAGGGACTGCATAAGATGGCCAACGCGCTGTCTAGGTGGTTTCTTCTTGGACCGTCATGCTATACTCGGAGACTATATGCATCGCAGCTACTGCAAGCAATGGCGTCCACATTGGACTCAAGCCTTGCCTCATACTTGCAGATGATGGATGGTGCATATGCAGACGCTTGCAGTTCAGAACAGTGTGCTTGCAATAAATGAGTGCCCTTCATAAATCCAACACTGATAAATCCTGGATTTGTCGCCACGCAGTCATCTCCTCCCGTCTCTTCCCGTCCGCTCGCTTGAGCGCCATTGTACTTTCGACGCTTCCTCGTTGTCGAGAAACCCTGCATAGTCTTCGAACGCACAACGCAAAATGGCCTATTCTGCACGGTAACAAGCATACCGGGATTCGCGTCAACATCTGTACCTTTGCCTGCGGCGCAGTCGCGTTTGCTTCCGTTATGCAGGAAATCTTGGCGCTGCAGCCTGCAGCCCGAATGACCGCCCCAACACCGCACCTTCTACCGTCGTGTATATCACGCTACCACTGGTAACATCCTCCTCGTTTCTCGTGTCTTCAAGAAATAATCCTTCAGCAGTCGCCCCAGATCACTTCGCTCCAGGTCGCGGGTTCGTTAGAACGCTGGGTCTTGGCGCAGGTAGCCTTTGCTGTGTAGTACCAAGGTACCGCTCAGTCGACAAGCTGATCAACTTCAATTTTCGGCCTCCTGCGAAGATTTCAAACCACCGCTCGCGAGTTCAACATCCACAGGTCGTCGTTACAGCAAAACAATGACTTCCTCTAATACCGACTCGGACTCTGATGAAGTCGAATTCCTACACGAGACATACAAGGGAAAGGAGGTCATTACTCTCCAGGACGAATTCGAGCATGCCAACGACACTGAGCAGATGTCTCGCAACTACTCATCACCATCTATGATAGGCTTCCGCCTGCTCGACCTTCCGGCGGAACTGCGAATCCACGTATACTCGTTTCTGATCCCACACAACATGGAAATTACATTCGAGCGGTATGGATGGTCGAGTAGCAACGAACCCGACTGGACCACAAATGCCTTCCGAAAGGACGAAGACATCTCATACAAGATAGGAAGCAATCCATACTACAAAAACACAAAAGTGCGCCGCTATAACCATTTCACGGTCGAGACACAGTTATTCCGAGTGAGTAAATTCGTCTCCAATGAGACCAAGTGTATGTCTTCCGTTGACTCGTATCGATGTGTACTAATGGTTCCAGCGGTTATGTATGGGTCTAACACCTACAACTTTACTGTACATGGAAATTCCATGTGGCCAAAGTCGCTACGGAGCCCGTTCGTCTTTGGACCTCTCGGCCATCCCGATCGACTCCTTCTACTACGTAACCTGCGAAGCATCCACATCGACGTGATACCCGATGTCGATAGCCACTGGGCGGTTAAGCGTCAGCGGTCAAGACTCGAGTATCTTGTCGAGATTCTGAAAGAGCATGCAGATGACACCGACCAAAAGTCTCTTTTACAAGATCTGAAAGTTGATTTCCAGCTCGTCTCACAAGACAAGATGAAGAGGATGCTGCGCGATCGCCCTACCTGGCAGCAGGTCGTAAAGCCTAGTATTCCTGAAGACGTTGGGAAGTTCATGTTCGGTCTTGAAAGCCTGGCATCCCTGCGGGGTATCGGAGACGTCGAGATCAACGGACTACCGGAGTGGTACACGAAATGCCTACAGCTAGCTATACAGGGCAAGGGAGGAGACATTCAAGAGACGGACTGGCCGCTCGTGGAAGTCAAACGTCGTGCGAATGGGAAGCGCAGGTCGTCAAAGAAGTTGTTCGTCTCGATTCGCAAATGGCATCAGCCAACGCTGGATTGGAAGGAGTTTGCTGAACGTAACGACATCACAACCCCAGCTGACATTGACAAGTTCTGGGCAGACGAGACGTAGACTTGACTGGTGTGCATGCTTATCCTACTCAAACAACGAGGCTATGTAATACTAAGCTACTGTAACAGCGGAGTCTGAATCATGCGATACATTGACACAGATATCCTCAAGACGTGTGGGTGTATCGGCAGGAAGATGAAGCAGCTCGTTGCGCGCATGGTCATATATGATCGTACAGCCTGGTTAGGTCATGTACTCACAAGTTTCGGTGATGATAATCCTGATAAGTGACAGTATTGGTCGATTCAGCTTCAATGTAATGATTGAGTTAACAGTAGTTGGAAGCATTTGAGGGATGAAGCTCTGCAGATGATGAATCACATGTGACACAGCTGCTGCATCGGCTTCGTAGCTCGCATGAGTAATACCTGAAGAGACCACGTCTTTCAACAGCTAATCCATCGCTTTTTGGCCTGCTTGAATGCAGAGATGACTACGTGTAGACATGTGACTCTTGCTGTCTTACTCCATCCATGAATGGTACCTACAGGTATGTGGCTTGCCCCACGTTTGCGGCTTGATTGGCTGGCGAGCATGACGCGAACTACGACCATGACCTAATGACTCCTATCGCGCCGCGGCCTTTATCGCCATCTGTCCCTAAACACATGCTCACTGGGTAATAGACTTCTGTCTCCTTGTCCTCTGTTCAGATATCTATCTACTACGATCTCGTAGCATCTCCCTTTGTTGAAGCCCATCCCTACCACGCCTCCCGTAGTTCGCACCCTCAACGCCACCACAATGGCCGTCGGCGATATTCCCTCAAGCCCTCAGCAGGCAGCTGCCCCGCCTCAGCCCATCGACATCGAAGCGTGGACGGAGCAAGCAACAGTTGCGCTCAGCTCGGTGGCTATATCCGCCCCTGGTGATGCGCTTCAGGGTACCTCGGTTACGCTTGCGATACCGCTCGACCATGATGCGCCTGCCGCTGCCGCCCACCCCGTAGGTGCCTCGGCAGCTGCAAAGGAGGGTGGCTACTATCATCGCAAGGAACCACTCCGTCGCGACAGCTTGAAGAGGCGTGAAGCCCTGCTCCGCGGCAAAGAGGGGTCAAGGCGCAGGCAGCGTTGGGAGAATGGTACGTTGAGGGTCTGCCCCTCCCCCTTTCCGCTGGAGACGCTTTGCGCATCGCGACACCATCTCCTGATCTTCCCATGCACTGCGAGTAATTCATCGTTCAAAGTACGCGTCAATTGATTTCTAGCCAGATCGCCTCCTAAACAACCCCTACGCTGAGCCTCCGCTGCCGAAGGACTGGGAGGTCCATCCTACCTACACGTCCAAGAATGTACCCTACTATCTCGCTCCGCTCTGGGACGCCGGCCTCAAGCGCCAGTCCAACGAACGCAAGACCGCCGCCGTCGCCCAAAAGTCCGCGACCAAGACTGTAGCCAACAAGCCCACAACTCCCGGTGTCGTGCCCAAGGAGCTGCGCGAGAAGCTGAAGCGATCGCGCGGTGCCAAGGGTCTGCTCATGGACCTTGAAGGCGAAGTGCGCAAGTTCGTAGAGGGCTGGGAAGAAAAGGAGCGCAAGGCAGAGCAGGACGGCCTACCTGCCGATCCGGACAGCGAGGACGACGAGATCGTCTTCGTTGGAAGGAACGGGCAGATGAACGATCTCCGCTCGCCTACAGAGGCTGAGGCTATTAAGAAGGAGCTCATGCTCTTTGAGACACCCGAGGAAGACGTTGGAGGCAGCTTCGGACGTTGGCTCGTACACCACATTGGGGTCTACTATGGCTTGAAGACCTGGAGTGTCACTGTTGGCAATCCAGCCAGGCGCGAAGCCTATGTTGGCCTAAAGGGTGCGAAGCTCCAGGCTGGCAACACTGGCAGCCAGGTCTGTGGCACCTTGCCTCGACCGCTCTATGGCTTGGTATAGCTTGCTCATGGCCTCTTGAGCTCCTTCAAGATCTGTCGCGCACTCCATGTCTGTTCATTTGGTCTGCTTCACTCATGTACACGGCATGTACATGACTCTGTGTTTCGGACTCACACCTTTTCATGATTTTTGTTGTCGCCGCTGCGATTCGCATCTGCATCTACATCTGCATATAGATGGATGGGCCGTAACTCTTTGAATCACACATCATGTCCTTCTAGGAAGCTTGACTGAACAATTAATCGTGTTGCTGATGCTATGCTCAATTGGAAGTAAGACTGACCCAAAGCTCGGTCGCGTAGCACAAAGCAGGGCCAACCTCTTAGCTCGGCTTTGTGCTGTGCACGTACACATGAGTCGCGAACATTGGGACCATGCTACGTGCCCTGACTCTATCATAGACTTGTTCTTCTAGGATCACACATGTTGTCAGTGGCGTTTATGCGTTACTTCGCATAAGAAGATCGTCTGCAGGAACGATCCTTCCGATGTAATTCGTTCGTCATCGCATCGAATGTCCTTGTCGCGCACCCCAATACCTGGACAACGTCCCGCTTTTGCAGGTGGCTACAGTCCACAAGACAAGGGTTTTCCTATCGGAATCGGGTTGAACATCCTTCCAAATGATAGTCGTGAGGGGTGGTCTTGGCGTTAGAGCGAACGGATATAACCCTTGATCGCGCCAAACTTCGAATGCGTTGCTACCATCAATCAACCTCACAACAGCACGAACATGGCGACTGAGATGCAAACGCCCGAGGTGAACGCCCCCAGAATCTCCGAGTAAGCACTATAGTCATGTAGCAAAGACTTACAGAAAAGCTTACTTGTGTCTTAGGTATCTGAATGACGATGACCAGCCTCCTATTTTCAAGGAATTGCTTAAGCTTTACAACACTCAACTTCATCAATTATACTGGAAGCATCCATGGTGGTTCTTGCACCGCAATCAAATAGAACCAATGTACATGCAGCTACTTCCCTTCCACATTCGCGCAATCACTAATTCTGCCGCCAGGCTTTTACACCGCGAAGGCGGTCCTATCTTCTTGACCTACGCAGTAATGAACTACATGGTGATAAAACACTATCTGCCTCGTGAAGTTCGGGACATGATTTGGGCCCAGGTCTGGGACGAGCATACCGTTGAGAAAACCCTCGTTTACATGCGCAATACCATCAACAGCACCTGCCGTCTGTGCCTCAACCCTAAGGACCTGACCTGTCCATATCATCTATGTCTCCCATTCTTTGTGCGCCCGGAGCTGGTTGGACCAGAGATGGCGACAGAACTAGTGGAGTCATGGTACAACATTGCTGCGACCAAGCACCACGAGCTACTCTACGCGTGGACCGCCAAGGGTGTACAGGAGATCATTTGCAAGGACGCTTTCAACATTGGACGCGAACCAGCCCAGTTCATAAGAAAGCTGAAAATCAGCATGAGTGTGGACGATTTCGTTCCACCCCAGGTGCCATTGGAACCGGGAAAAGAGGGTTGGGGCGATATCAGGAGTGCAGAACATCGCCGAGAACTCATCACCGAGCCTCTTTTGAAGATCCAAAACAAATCGGGATTCCGGTTCATCATTGAAGTCCGCCAGAAGCACATCAGGCTTAACCTCTGGAAAGAGGTTTTTGACGCGTTGAGAGAGCCGGTGAGGGTGATGAAGGACGAAGGGGCGATCGTGAAAGCCACCTTTGATTACAAAGGGAGGGATGATTATGAGAACGAAATCACAGTAACGTACGATATCGTGGATGCTATGGTGCAACCCGAGGAGGAATGGAAAACGAACGCAGTAGCCTTCTTTGATGCGGTTTGTTTTACTTTGCTGTCGCACTTTGCATCCAGCTGACCACACGCGTCAGCAACCCGAGATTCCCGACATACACCGTCTATACAGGGACGAGAATCGCCCAGATTTTGATCCAAAGAGCGATGCGTATCTCACCCAAGAAGAGATCGCCGACCGCGAAGAATCCGACCATGATTATATGATGCATTTTGACACATACAACGCACCTCCGCCCCATAATCATGTGCGTGAGTACATGGAAACTGGAACTCTGAAGCATGAGGCAGGGATTTGTCGGTGCCCCGATTGTGACTCGAGCCTCGGCGATCTCCTGCGGGGGCGGAACAGAATGCGTTACTCGAGTGACGAGGATGATGAGAACGGTGGCCACGCCGACTATGATGACGAGGAGGACGATGAGGAAAGTGATGATAATGGAAGCTATGATGATACCAGGAGCGACGATGAGATGGAAAATGCTCAGGGCGGACAACAGTCAGGTGCTTCTCATCAAACGTAAGCCTGTTGGAGGCACATGTCAGGATAGGGCCCCAAAGTAGTTCTACATTAACAATGAGACTAAAATCAGCCGTACTTTGCTTCTGGGTTTCCTGTGGCCTACGGAAACGAACATTTCCTTCTCTCTAGCATAGATTAGATCATAGTGCTAGGTACCAAACTAAGCCCCGCTATCGCGCTCTCTTTCCGCGTCTCTACATCTCAATCTGAATCATACGACTCATCCGAACTACAATACGGGCTTTCCTCGTCGGGGCCAGTATTAGACCCATCATCTGAGCCAGTGTCAGATCCGTCCTCTGAATCCGTCTCTGGATCGTTGCCGAAGCAGTTGTTCATTCTGTTGGTTGTATCTTCGTGATGTTGAGGGTCATAATCCGGATTGTCTTCCACCAGATAGTCCCTGTGTCTGACCTGGCGGCACTGTTGTCGCGGTTTGAAAAAACTTTCTATCATATATTCCTTCCATTCCGCACCGGGATCCCGGATATGTGAGTTGAGGTCGTACTTTATACTCGAAGTCCTGTCTGGTTGGTAGAACCATTGAACGCGTATGTTCCGACTGTGTTCCTTGAAAGCTGTCAATACGGGTCGCAATAGTTCAAAAATGGGGGTCCAGAGGTTGAGTCGGATGTTTCTCTGGGGCAGCCGGATGTAAAGGTGGAAGTCGCGTTTATGAACGATGCGAAGTAATTGGTCAACCATGGCCTGCGCTTCGGCCGGGCTAGCAACAAGGTCCTTAACGGGGACCTCAACAATCAGTCCTCTCAGTACCGCTGTAGGCTTGAGACCAACTTTGAAAGCATCTGCAGTGAGTAGCCGGATTGCCTCAGAAAGCGTCGTTGCGAAGAGGTGGCGGTAATTCGATCCTCCAGGTACCATCTTGTACCACATCTCCAGCGCCTCGCGCGCGGTCTCAATTCCAACGTAGGACTGTTTGATGAAGTGTGGAGCTGCTTTGTGTCCCATACATTCCTCCAAAGTTCCGAATTTACAATAGCAGTCTTCCTTTACAAGGTCGCACAGGTGGCTCCAGGACTTGTTCACAGGTGCGGTTGCGCCGCCATTCGCGCTCCAGAGCTCTTCATAGATCATTTCGCGTATCTCACGAGGCAAGAGACGTTGCATCTCATCGCAGAAGGCCATATTCCAAGCTCGACTGTGAGATCTTACAGTGGCTCGCGACGTCCTTGGAAGAATGCGTTAGTGTGTTGTACGTTTGAGAGCGAAAACAATGCATTCTTCCACATACTTCGCGTACAGAGCACGCTTCTCGACCAGAAGCCGCATTCTTTCCTTTTTCAATTCTTGAAGCTTGTTGTTGATGGAACTTGTCTGTTGCATAGCCCTATTTGTAGATCAATCCATGTACTCGCAAAGGTGAAGGTAGAGCGTACTCTTGTAATTGTTGGTACGTTCGCCATGCATCTTCCTTCTGGCGATTCTGCTTGCACCTGCATGCACTCATCTTGTTCATCTGAAGTAGTGACCACGACAACGTGTGAATAGTATTTAGGAACTGGGGATGTGTTTGACCAGACCGAGAAAGATCAGAATGTGGGAGAGCAACGTTCGTTCGGGAATCTCAGCTAGCCATGCGGACGCGGCTCCGGGATGAGGGTAAACAGATCACCACTAGGGCATTGTGTTAGCGCGTACGCCCTACACCGAATCACATATGCAGCGACAGACGCCTGCATATACACCACATGGAGTGCTCGATGATTTGGAGGATCATTAACATTACGTTGATTCATGACTGCAAAAGCGCTGACTGTTCGTGCAATAACTACGAAATATCCATGTCGACGGCGGGAAGTAAACCTTATCCTACTTCATCGCCGCTAGTCAAACTTGGCAAAAGCAAGTTCATACGCCAGAGCAAGCGTCATACGCGCGTGCTGAAGCATATGGTCGAAGCTCAGATACTCAATCTTATCTTCGGTTGTGTGTATCTTGTTGTCGCTGTACTTGAAATCGGACTCAATGACGAAGGCTGACGGGTAGCCGGCCTTGGACGCGCTGGCGTGATCTGAACAGGCGTAACCGCACTTGGTCAGAACATACGGAATGCCACAGTAGACAGTGATGATCTTCTTGATGAACTCGGTGAGACCGGGGTCAACGAAGTCAGTAATGACACCAACAGACTCAGGCTCGCCCGCGTCCAGCGTCTTCTGGACGTAGCCGGTCATGTCCTGCTGAAGCATAGCCTTGACCTTGCGAGCCTCCTTCTCGTATGACTGGAAGATGGCCTGCGATCCTAAGAGGCCTCCTTCCTCAGCAGAGTACCAGTGGAACTCAATTGTGTTGTCTGCTTCGCCCTTGAGGATCTCTTCCGACTTGAGGAGTACGCGCAGGGCTTCGAGGATAGTTACGGTACCGCTGCCGTCGTCGTCGGCGCCTGGGGCGGCCAGGAGAGCTGGGAAGAAGAGGTTGATGCTGTCTTGGTGAGCGCCGATGACAATTGTCTTGTCGCTCTTGCCAGGAATGGTGGCGATGATGGAGGACTGGCCCCATGGGTGAGGGAACGCCTTCACGGAGGCTCTGACAGCGCCTGCATCCGCGAGAGTCTTGTTGACCTGGCCAAGAAGCCATGCCGAGCTCTCGACTCCGTATTTGGACTTATAGTATCGCGTGTGGAACGAGGTGAAGGTCTCGAGATGCTCGCGCATGTTGTTCTTCTCCAGCTTCTTGAGCAGAGGAACGATGGTCTCGTTGTGTACAGGCTTCTCGGGGAACTTGACGCTTTCGGCTTTGAACCGGCGGTCGAGCGTGCCGAGCTCTTCATTGTGCGTGATGTCGAAGAAGTTGATGTTTTGCTGCATCGTGTCAGTGGTAGGCTCCACGTTATCTGCTGTCGGTGCTGGGATGTCATACCTTACGCAGCTCCCACTTCTCATCTTCGGTAACCCATCTTGTCTCGCCCGGAGACAGCTCGATAAGATACTCGTCTGGCTCGATGATGGTAAGCTGCGGCTCCTGCAGGACCGCCTGGGGGTCCTTGGGATGCGAAACTGCAGCTGCAAGGGCTGCAGTGTACAGAGGTAGTAAGATCGTTGTTGACTTCATGTTTGCTGGGGTGTAGATGGTAGCAAGAGCTGTGATAACGTCTATGGCAGCCGGCACGGTGGCTGGGTTGACGCGATGATGCCGAGATAGCGGCGGAGCTGTCCTGTTTCAGCCAAGCGCGTAGATCATCCGTCACGAGGTCACGCGTCCGGATCCAACCTTGGAAGGTTCTTCGAAGCCAGCTCTTCATACTTCACGCTGCATGTTCAGCGCTACTTCAAGCACCACTACTGTCCCTCTAACAACTAAGCTACAAGCCTATGGTATCAATATCTTCTTCCGCGTCGCATCTATTTGCAAGCAGCCGCGATCAATCCCACCCGTGCACACCCGGACATCCTCCACCTGTGATCTGCCAACGCCGCCACCAAATAACTGGATCGATTAAGTAACCATAGCCACTCACCGGCCTCTTCAGACGCGCAGAAGACAGAATATGCTGCCTCTTGATGTCGCACAGAGTTTGTGGTCCGGATCCGGAAGCTTCTGTTTTTCGGGTCGAGTTTGTGGAAATGACTCTCTCCCTACTGTTATGAATTGTGCGCGCGCTTCAGGTTCTGGCGAGGGCGCCTGGTCTGCTTGTGCCTCTAGCTGTTGTCTTTGTTGGTCATTTTGCTTCCCAGGAGCGCTCTCGCGTTTCAATTGGTGTTGCACTTTCTGCACTGCTTTCCGAAAGGCTTTGGCAGGGTTTGGCTGCTCCATCTTCACCCATTCCAGTTGACGTACAGGTATACCCGACGTCTTGCAGGCGATATGCAATTGTCGGGCAAGCTTTTGAATCTTGACGTCATCCAGGTCTCTCGTTCTAATGGATAATCTCAGCAATAAGGACGATCTTTCGGGATCCCGTCTCTGGAAGGATGCGTCTCTTTTGGAGTTGGAGTCGAGGCGGTATAGATCGATGTTCCGCGTCCATCGTTGGAGACGATCCCATATGAGTGCAGCATCAGACGCTCGTTTAGTGTTGATTCTCTCCCAGAGCTGGATGACGGAGAAACTCTCTCCTTTGGACTCCTCGATCAGTTCTTCAAGCGAGTCGCAGAAGGCCGTAGTAAACGAGTTCTTCCCCGGTCCATACGTATAGCCTTTCAACGTTGATGCTGCCAACAGCTGGTATGCTCTCAGCTCGGAACTTCCACCCTTGACGGCTGCAGTACTAGCGCAACAGCAGTCTAGAATTGACAGCACATCAGCCGTGGCAAGGGTGCGTAGAGGCTCTTCTGCTTGACCCCAGAAAGCCACGGGGGCGAAATTACCGGAGGCACTCGATTCTTCTGTTCTACGCGCTGTCAGCCTCGTACAACTGTCTAGGGTCCATTCATCTTACGCGGATAGCTCCAGGTTCTGGACGTTATCATCAACGAGATGGCGCCCGTGTCCAGTGTAGTACACGATGAGAAGAGTGTCTTCATCGTCATATCGGTCCACATGCTGAAGGATCTTGAGGTTGAACGCGACCTGGGGGTTACGGGTGTTCTTGATACTCTCGACTGTAACCCCATAGCCAAGGCGTTGGGAGAATAAACTTTCCAGTCTCTGGATCTATACAGCAGATTAGTATCATTCTTTCACATTGGTGGGCAGTATAAGTCACCTCCTGGGTGTGCCCGTCCTTGAAATCATCAATGCTTTCATCCCACCGGAGTATGAGGACCTCAACCCTACGGTATCCATTCGGTATGTCGAGCACTTTGTTGGACGTTTTCTGGAATAGAGTTCGCCTTTCCGCTTCACGCTTCAGAGCCACTGCGTCGTCGCCAGGACGCAGCAAGGCTCCGGTTTGGGCGACGCTAGGGGAGTTTTGACGTGAGAGGTTCCTTGGTGCAGGGCTTTGACCGGCATTGACACATGTTGCGTGCACCTGTCGTACACCGGATGATCGTGGGGCTGCCATGATGAGAAGGGCTGAAATTACTGGGAGGCACGGCAGGAATCGTTCGCTTTATTTGATCCTATCGCGCCGTTCGCTGCGGCGGCCCAGTCGTTACGAAGGTCCTCGTGCGGCTGTGTACACATAGCTCAGCTCAACCGCTGATTGTCCATCATGAACGGGCCGCGAGAACACCTGTTCGCGTAGTTTGCCTTTCGGTTTGCCTTGTTACCTATTGGCTTGGGGAACCTCGACGTGACCCCGCTATCGTCCTCCGGCGCCACCACTTGGCCCGCCAACCGCAGCGTATGTCGACCCTCCTCTACGACCCAACGCCTCACGTTTGATTCGACGAACGGAGATCATGCGGCTCAAATCTTGGGTCAAAGACCCATCAGCTCATGGGGTCTATGATTACCTGCAGCATTGCCTACATAATTTGCCTTGTCTTGAGGCTATGTTATAAAAACAACGGCTGTACATAAGTCTGCCTTGCTGCCTCGCTGCCTCGCTGCCTCGCTGCCTCGCTGCCTCAGCATCCCCAGACTAGACGGTCTGTACACAAGACGGTCAAACTTTGATACGAGGGCACTGGACACTTACTATGTCCTCTCAGGTAGGACATACGAACCCTGCAAGACCTGGGTGGCTTCACGCTGACCGGGGTTCTGAGTATTTTGTTAGGACACAGCGTTGGAGAGTGAGCGAAAGAAATCCAACGTGGCACTGGACGATGATGCCGAAGAAGTAAGTCTGGCTTCTGCACTTCTAGCGTCAAAACTCCGCTGATCAGTCTTGCAAAGCGCGTACCAGCCTTCAGTAACAAAGCAAAAGTCAAGATGAAAGTCACGGAACCAGTGGTAAAGGGCGGCACGAGAACATTCTTCAAGACTTTCACAGTCGCTGCGAGCCAATGCCTTGTTAGTTCGTGGCAATACCGACTTTTCAATTCCGATGGCGTATTGTACGCACAAGGAGCCTGGTTTCGCGAGGATGACTTGAGGCCTGCTTGAGAGCACTCTTCACCGGAACGCTAGCCTTAACCAATCAACAGCCATGTATTCATAGTCAGCTGTCAGATCTCAGCCTTATATAACGATCACATTAAAGCTCCCGTTTCTCTGCTGCTTCTGTTTGATGATTTCTTGGATCTGGTGAATACCTGCATGCTTTCTTTCCGCCATGCAGTGTTCCACTCCTTTTGTCGATGTTGAGAAACGTGGGTCCGATAGCTCCGGAGATGCTATCATCGACGTGGAAATCAACAGTCGCGCAGGCACGCTAGTGAACAAGGAGGTAATTGGTTCGTGCTCCGCCTCATCGCAAGGTCTGATGTGCGGTATTAATACAACTGACTAGGTCCAAAATTGTCGCGTGCACAGATCGACGCAGAAATCAAGACGACAAAAACCATACCGTGTAAGCTCCGCCACTCAACTCAGCCTGATTCTTGTTGCTAACTCTTTAAGCAGTACAGGAGTACCCAACGGGCTACCCCCTACAAGCGGCTTTCCAGTCGAGTGAATCCAGCTGGTCCATCTATCGCGGGTTCAGTTACCTACACGCTCGCGTCATACTCGACCTGCAGGACGAGCTCCGTTGCTTGGAAGAGAATTTAGAGGAGATAGACCTAGAGAATGAAGGGGAGGGTCGGCTGCGCTCCCGGAAGGACGACCTCAAGTTTGCGAAAGATCAAGGCATAGTCAGCCCTCGCGCTAGCCTCCTAGACAAGATCAGGACCAAACTCGTTAGCTATGGTCAGTTATTCACCGTTTCGCCTTGCATCACGTCTACTGAGTCTTGCATGTAGATGAGATTCTTGTCAAAACTAGAGAGCTGAACGCTTTTCAGCGACCATCCAAACGAGACTACCGCAGCTTTCGCACATGGTTCTGGAACAAGAAGCCGCTCAGCTACGAGCTGGAAGAGCAGTTCATCAAGCGCAAGGAAGACCTTGTTTCACTCCGACACGGTCGCGAATGGTCTGGCTTCGACGGACTCATCGAATCCTGCATCCAGAGGGTGCATTGTCGCCTCGTCCAGGTGAGTCGCTCCCGCCCTTTGCAGATGTGTGCTGAAAGACAACATAGAGGATATTCGCAACGAAAGAACTTCGTGACAAGACGAATGACGAACATGTGCACTACTACTCTCAGTCTCGCATCGAGAAGCTTGTTGGATTGATCATCACACTCATCATCTTTATCCTCCTCGTCCTTCCAGTTGTCGCCATGTACAAGCTGACATCGGTGGGTGATCGTAACTCCACCTTCGACGCCGTTGGGATTCTGGTTGTGTTCACATTGCTGTTCTCTGCTGCCATGAGCTTGCTCACAAAAGCGAAGCGACATGAGCTTTTTGCGGCCAGTGCCGCATACTGCGCCGTCCTGGTCGTTTTTATCAGCAATTTCAGCAACGACGGAAGTCGTCAAAGTGGATGAGCCTATTTAGACAGTCGGAAGATGAGCAGCTGGATTCCTGTCATCTCTTTTGTCATATACTTGTTTAGGCTGTACCTGCTGAAGGCTCATGTTCCATTCCTGTGCCTTGTGCCTTCAACGCGCGCGCGCGATGTAAATTGTCGTTTAGGGTATGGTCTTTGGGAAGCTCCCGAGGTCTTTCCAACATGAGGTGTTTCAATCGCAGGCAGTAACGTAGAAAACACATCAATCGTCCTCGGTGTATTCTTTCATCCAGGTTGTTTTCGATACTGGGTAGTCAACTGATGGGTGGTTCAATGCTCTGCTCGAATGGAGTGCTATGGACACGGGCTAACTCCGGGGTCGCGGATCGCCAGCTGTCCAACATCCATGTCGGCGGCGACGTCACCACTTCACCGTGCGATCGACTTATCCAGGTCTACTAGTGATGGTTTGCGTATCAATATTTTCTCAATACAGGTATCAAGCTCACCCGTCGAGTGATTGTGCGCGACGCGAGAGACTTTAACTCCGGGCGATGCCTTCCTAACTCCGGGCGAGGAAGCGAGGTTCTTCAGGTGCCTAGGCATAAAGAGGGGGACAGAGCCAACGAGCCAACGAAGAAACGGTGGCATATTGTCCAAAGATATTTCGGGTTGCACCAGTATACGAATTTGTATTATTATACCTGAAACAACATGGCCCACTCTTCAATCGTTTTCATTACGGGCGGCAACACTGGCATTGGGTACGAGACCGTGAAGGCTCTATATGCTTCGCCACAACCGCACACGATCCTGATGGGTAGTCGCTCTCTCGAAAAGGCCAACGAAGCCATCTCCAAGCTTAAAGGCGAAGTCTCAGAGTCCAAGTCAGATGTCGTCCCCATCCAGATCGACATTGAGGACGATGGGTCGATCGAGAACGCCTTCAAGAATATCGAGAGCAATTATGGTCACATTGACTCGCTGATCAACAATGCCGGTATGTGCTGTTCTCTGTCTCTCCAATGCGGCAGACTGATGTGTGGTAGGCGGATCTTTTGATGGCATCATGCGCAAGGACCCTAGCCCCAAAGGCATTCGCGCAGCTTGGGACAGAAGCTACTCCCTTAACGTCACTTCCACCCAAGTAGTGACCCATCTTTTCGCGCCCCTATTGATAGCCTCCAAACACCCTAGGCTTCTCTTCGTGACTTCTGGTCTGTCTTCCCTCGAAACCTCTTCCAGTAGCTTCAATTCCAAGCTCATGAACGCACCGCCGCCAAAGGGTTGGCCCAAGCCACCATCCATGGCCCAAACAGCTTATCGCTCGAGTAAGGCTGGGATGAACATGATGATGCTAGACTGGACACAAAGTCTTAGCGTCGATGGAGTCAAAGTCTTTGGCATCAGCCCCGGATTTCTGGCTACGGGATTGGGAGGCATGGGGCCGGAAATGTTGAAGAAATGGGGTGCGGGCGACCCAAGTATTGGGGGCGTGTTCATCAAGGATGTTGTGGAAGGGAACAGAGACGAGGATAGCGGCAAAGTTATCAACAAGGATGGTGTGCAGCCTTGGTAGCTGCGCTATCTGCGGTATGATAGGCCGTCGGCTGTCGCACAACATTCGCAGATCTACTTTTCTCGGTATCAGTCCATGGTTTGCTAATTTCCAGCCCCCAAATGAAGACGGTTCCTATGCCAGTATTGTTTTCATGGGACCACCCTTTCATTCTCTGGGGCTATTTTAAATCGACCTTTCGTGCCTGTGTCGACTCCTCCTCCGTCTTCGTGTTACAGCATAGCTTATAATAATATGCATGATGCTGTGTATCCAGGGAAGGCTGACCCATCCGCAGGCACCATTGCCACGGCGTCCAAGGCCTTTGACCCTCATGAGCTGAAACTCGATGTAATTGTGCGGTGAAGAAACCTCCCACGATTTACCACTGCATTAAATCGCAGGTAATGTGGAATTCATTGCCCATACAGTTGACGTCTGTATCTTCGTGTAGGTAAAGCAGTGAGACTTTCGCTGCTCAGCCTTGTGCCTTCGTCCTCTTATCTCTCCGCGTTCCCCGCCCCCACTTCGAAGAGCACAAACCTATGATCTTAGCTCTGGCTTACTACCCAATACGGCTAATGCTATCATCGCAACAAACTGCGCCTCGCTGCAAGCCGCTTCTACCTTTCCAATGGTTCGTTCTACACCGTGGAAGCATCTCAACGACAAGTATGTTCGCGCAACCGCTCTATCAGACGCTATATCGTCCGTTAAATATAGAAGAGACAGCAGGTAGCAGAGTTATGAGCCGTCTGGCGTACTTCATCGTGTTCTGGCGATGCACAACTCTTTACAATCTGCTTCGATAGCTAGACACCTACCATCCACAAAAAGACTGTATACTATTACCAATAACCTACTTCCAATCGTTAACAAGGCCCTGTATATCTATTGCACGTCTCCAAGATAATATTCGTCCCCTTAAAACGTAACCTAGATACCATGGTATCAGAACACGAGTCAGTTTACCTTGGAGTCTGGACGAATTGGTCGCATGGCTCGATCGCCGGCCTCACACTCACGACGACTCTTCAAAATGGCGGTTTACTCATCGCTTTC